TATCGGGATGTTCTCCATCTAAAAGTTTTTTTTGAAAACCAAATAATAGGCAATAAAACACGAGAATGGTAAGTTCAAACATACAAAAGAGCCTTAATTTTATTTCAGAAAGATGGAAATCGTAAGAAATAAAGCCAAATATCTGGGCAGTTTTGGCTGTAATTTTGTCAGCGTGTGGCGAGCGATCAAGATTATTAATGTAGCTTAACTCTTAATCCTTGATGTTGGTACATTCAATTAGAGGTGTGCCTTGAAATATCGCTGGTTGGGGTAGCCTCTCATGTCCAAAACACATATAGCGTCATCTAGATGGAGAAAATTCCATTAGCTACTTTGAGCTGCAAGCTGAGACAGCAAGTAGGTCAGCAAGTATTCGCTCCATGCAATGAAGGCTCGAATATTTATTGAAAGAATATACACATTTGAGATCATTGGCATAATTACATGATTGAGAATATTAAACTGCCTCCGAAATATCATTTGTGGAAAGCAAGAACCAAAGAGGACTTAAACCGGTGCCTTGCATGACACTACTTACAATAGGGCTTACACTGGAAAGTGCAGATCCCACTTAAACCTTTTGTTTACGATTACACAGGTATCACTTGATAGTCTATTAGGATACTGCGAATTCCCAGAGCTACTAATTTATCCAAGAGTCTTTTAGGTGGCACTTTATCAAATGCTTTACTGGGGTTAAAATAAATAAGGAAAACTAATAGATGGTCATTATGAAGAGAAGTTAGTAGATTGACAAACGACAAATGACATGTTTCACAAGAGCGATGTGGTAAAAACAATACTGAGAAGGACTAATAACATGATTAGCTATGCAAAAGTCAGTAAATTTAAGACGATAATTTTTTCAAAGGTTTTAGATAGGAAACGTGTTTGATAGACACCTCGATAGTTATGAACGTCACAACGGCAGCCAGACGCAATTACAGGAATGATAATAGAAGTTTCCGACTAGCCTGGAAAGAAGCCATTGACGAGGAATACTGAAAAGAGTTTGCTAAGCAGAGGAGGAAAATCTCTTAGCTGTTTTATAAGAGAGTTTAGGATATTGTCCGTACCCAATGCGTGAGGGTTGGAAAGACGGTTTATCGGTTTTTCAGTAGTTTCAGGATAAAAATTAACGATGCTGAGAGAGACATTAGACAACGGATGAATTAAAGGGATTGGGTCGGTTTCGATTGTGAAATGATTGGCAAAAAAATTAATTTAACATTTCTGCTTTGCCTAACTCCTCCGCAATGAAGGCATCGTTAGTAGTAAACAAAGACGGAATTACTTTGTGGGATTTAGCAGATAATTATTGACGGAAGAACTAAGCAACTGACTAAGAAGCATTCACCTCAATAATAGCCATAGACTCTCTACGCCTATCTCGCGCAAGTGTCATTTTCGAAGCTTATTCTAATATTTCGACAAGTCTTACATAAACTGATAATGAGCTTACATAGGATATTTAAACTGCCTCCGTAGCTTTTAAACTCTGTTTTTACGAAAATGTGTGACAGCGATGGAATAAGCCCTCGATTTGAACGTCTTCCGTGGAGTTAGGTCGAGAAGACCTTCTGTTACGCATTGCAATAAATTTTTGAAAAATTCGGATTATATTTGAAAAAAATATTGTGCCAATCGAGAGTGTTTGTAAAGATATATACTGATTTCTTGTTAATATTACCAAAGTCAAAAATGGTTCCGAAATGGCAACCGGAAGGCGACAACGAAATAGTGCATAATCAATTGCGAAAAGGTCATGATAGAAATCCATATATAAAGGGAAGGTGCCATTAGTGAAAATTAAGTCTAATACACCATCGCTTCTGGTCGAAGAGTGGAATTATTGAGACTGGCACACGTCTTACTTTTACCATATTTTGCACGACTGATCATGCATTGAGAGAGACAATACTAAGCGTATTCCTCAGATGTCGGTTTCGCTCATTACTAATTATAAAAAGGGAGAGCTGGTGGTGGAAATTTAAGCTGTTTGGACGAAACAATTGGTGGAAGACAACGTTGCTGTGGTATAAAATTTTTGGGGTAATTACCGCTAACTAGAGGTACAGCATGGTATGGAAAAATAGTAAAGGAGAACCGTGGAAGAGGAAAGCTATTTTCTTGGGTTGAAAATATAGGAGGCATGAAAACAGGAATTTGTTTTTTTTAAGCATAATATGAGAGATACTTTATGTTAGGTAACGGACGTAATGGTTTCGAGAAACAGTTTCCATCACGAAAAAAGGCTTTATTGTCTGGGATGTCGGACAATCAATGAGATTGGAACATTTATCGGCTACGCTGTATACTTGCAGTTGGCAGGCTGGTGTGTAACTGGGCTTCATAACGGAGGTATTTACGTTAGGAAATCGGGTTTAGAACAGGTAAGATCTCCCTGATTTGGCTAATTGGATATAACCGCAAGGTCAGACCTGAGTGGCCAGGCGTGGGAACGGGATGGGTCCGATCTAGGCTCAGTAATTAGTTCATTATTCTAAGTGCTAGGGGTCGGCTGTGTTTCAAGGATTGGCTCATCTTTACTGTAAGGATCAAGCTCCTTCGTAAATTTGGGAGCCGCATTTGAGCAACCCTTGCTTCTTGAGAGCGTTTTAACAAGGCTGGTTTAAACCGACTTAGTGATAATGTGCTCAGCTGGAGAGCTAGATGGAAAAGAAGCCACTGTGGATAAGGGGGAGGTTTGGTTGACGCTCGAAGAAGAATCTGATTTAGGGGAATAGCGCAGATGAGTAGAATTCTGGGATAGCTTTACGTTTGTTTATGGGTGAGAAACTCCTCGTTACAGTGGAGTTATATGTTGACTAATAAAAATGTTATTTTCTCTGAGATATTGAGCTGAGTGCTCCAATTGTGAGGACATAAACTCCACTCCTATCGACGAAAATAGTTTGACAATAATTGGTGGATTTTTGCCCGTAGATGAAAGTCTTTTAGCTTTACCGACCCTAAAGTTGAAGTTGCATGAGTACAGAAAGTGGAAAGCGACATCGATTGACGGTTCACTATTAGGAACGTTTTTAAAAATTAAGTAAAAACTTCGTTTGTGCCTGCCTTCGGTCTCACTAACAACCATATCAATGCGAGACATGATCTTCTCACACTGTTGGGACGTAAGTGGTGGCAACGTATCCCCAAGAACGACACCAAGAACAGACAAAATTGATCCCTAACGGGACATAAAACCGTTTAAATTATCGAGGGCCCCTAGGTCAATTTGTTATATCTACATTGGGTATTAATTGAAGTTTCGTATCCTTCACATTTTGGCGAAGGGTTGCCTGAGGTTTCATGTCAAAAAAGCAAAACAGGACTTTAGTCCACAGTTTAAAGTGATATATGAATGAGGCTATGTATAATAGAACAATTACTGAAAGCTGTCGATATCGGTGGGCAACACAATGCAGACTGGAGAAAAACGGGTAAAAAACAATTATGTAGGTGGCAAAACGAAACCGCGAGTAAATTTGAATTAGATAATGAGGATAAGTAGGATAAAATAGAGAACATTATAGTTATCTTATTTTCAATAAACCGACGATAAAGGCAGTCAGCGTGGACGGTTTAGCGTTTAAACTTTAATGCTGTTTAAAATTTTACAAGGAAAGCCGTTTATATAAGCGGGTGAAACTTAATAGGATTGGAGCTATGTTGGGTGAGAACTATGACACTATATTTCCGCTTTATATTAAATCGACAAAACACGACGGGAAGCTAAGATGAAGTATGACAAAAAATAGGGAATTTTGTCAGATTTACACTAGACAACTGTTCGACAGATTAAGAAATCGAATTCAAAAATATAACGGGGTATAGTTATGTCCTCAACATCTGCGGCCGAAAGTTTTTGTAAGATCTACTAGCTGTTTTTATCCCACATATCCGAGCCGCGGTCACTCAACAAGCGTTATTCTCCCAGCCTTCGTAGTCCTTGTTACAACCTTACCTGGATAGAGGTCTGCCAGGAAGACGCGGCAAATTCAACAATGACCTATCAATCAAAACGTGTACTACTTTAAGGGCAGTTAATGACTGCATTGTTGATTAATAAACGATCGTCTCATCAGGAGCGAATCTCCACGATGACTGCAGATATTATTTTTCATAACAACAATATGAATTTGTGAAAAAAGCACACAATTAACGCCGCAATCCTAGACACTATCCGTCTTCCTCCTTAAATATTTCTGACCAGGAATATTACTAGAAATTCGATATAAAAAGCAAGTTGGACTGACTTACATGGCCCCCTTAAACATGACATGCAGCGAGAAACCGAGCTGCAATACGGGTGGCGTTTGACCAACGTCCAGTTAAATTAGGCTTGAGTTGTAAATTAAGGTTGAAAGTGAAGTAACCAGGAAGGTAAGTCGGGATCAAGTTTCAGGTTAGGGTAATAAGAGTGTAAATTACACAGCAAATTTTTGGGAACAGGGTTAGGCTAACTTTATGCCAAATAGATGATGATATTTGCAAGCTTATGAAACCGTAAATATCCCACGTCCAGCGCTAAAAAAAATGCATTTGTTGCATGTTTGACATTGCGCGCATTAAGGGTGATATTTGCAAGCTTATCCGACAGTAAATATTTCTCCTCCATCCGCAAAGATGAATGCATCTCGCGCACCTCTCGAATTCGGCTTGGAATTTTCGCCCTCCGAGGGATTTGCCTTTTCGGAGATTTCTGCCTACTGGACCCTTTGCGGGCCCATTGGGATAAGGAAATTGAAGCTTGATCAGCAATTCCTCGAACGTTCCACAGCGAACTCCGACAGAGCTTTCTTTGGGACAACTATTCTCCCTCGCATGAATTATCTGCCAACAGCACCGTGGAAATCATCAGTTCCAAGAACAAATGACTCGTTTTCTATTTGCTTCATATCGTCGACCTGACTAAAAAGCTTCTGATACGAGCGAAGATGCGAGTTCCAGGAACTAGTTGATCAGAAGAAGAAGCGATCGCTGGAACAATGGCTTTATTCGCCTGACGTTTTGGATCCTCTCTTGAGAATTTCGGCCTCATCGAACTTGAATTTGTGGCCGGGTCTCGTCGAATGGGCCGCGACCTGAGAGTTGGCGTCATTTCTCCGTACAGCTGCCACGTGTTCGGTGATTCGCGTCCGGAGCAGTCTTCCAGTTTCTCCGACGTAGTTGCTTTGTCCGCAACTGCACCAGATCCGGTAAACGACTCCAGATGTTTCTTTCCGTTGCAGTGGGTCTTTTGGTCTCATCACTTGACGCCTCATGGTGGCCTCCGGTCTGTGCGCAACTCCAACCCCAAGTGGTGCATAAAGGCGACTAACGGCCTCGGAGACGTTCTTGATGCATGGGATTGCTCGCCAGAATTTGAAGTCGGTGCGACTTTGTCGCTCCTCTTGTTTGCGCAGGCACTGGTTGACGAAGTTGCGCGGGTAACCGTTTTCTCGAAGATATTGGAATTCGGCAACCTTGTCTTCCGGTTCACCGCAGTGCGTCTCCACACGCCGAAATAGCGTTCTTACGCAACTGTGTTTGTGGCTGATTGGGTGGTTACTGTTGAAATTCAGAATTTGCGTCGTGTTCGTTGCTTTTTTGAACACTTTGGTCTTTAGGCCACCACAATCTTTGCGACAGACGAGAACATCAAGGAATGCCAGCTGGTTATTCTCTTCCTCCTCCATTGTGAATTGTATGTCCGGGAAGACGCTGTTGAGACGTTCTTTGAACGTTAGCACCTGATCCCGTTCGATTACGACGAAGGTATCCTCCACATACCGAGCCCAGAATTTCGGTCTGTGGTGTTGGAAGACCAGCGACTCCAACCGCTGTAGCACCGCCTCGGCGATTAATCCCGAAATCGGCGAGCTTATTGGTGTTCCCTTTACTTGCTCGTAGATTGTTCTGTCAAACGTGAAGTACGTCCTGAGACAGAACTTTAGGAGCTGAAGGATTTGGGCATGTCCGAGACGAGTCGCCGTTTCATTGTACTTGTTTCGTAGGAGTAGCTGGACGGTCTCGATTGCCAGATTCTCGGGATAGAAGTAAAGAGGGACGTGACATCAAAAGATACCATGACCTCATTGGGCAAGAGACTTACTCCTTTAAGCTTCTCCAGGAATTGCGTTGACGAACAGACCGTGGTGTCCGAATCAGCGGTCAGAAATTTGAGGCGCCGAAACAGCCATCTTGCCAGTCCGTACGTTGGAGTGTCTTTAAGCGATAAAATTGGCCGGAGAGGAGCGCCCTCCATGTGCACATTTAAGAGACCATAGAATCGGGCCAAGGCCGTTTCTTGGGCTCTCGCCATGCGTCGGTCGGTCGCTGTTATTGCACCCAAGTTCTCCATTGCCAACAGCATTGCATTAATTTCGCGTGTCAGCGTTTTCATGGGGTTGGTTTCACATGCGACATAGAACTGCCGATCCTCCAGTATGTTTTTTAGCCTTCTGAAGGTAGTCTGTTCTGTACAGTACGACGGTGGAACGCCCCTTGTCCGCGGGCACAATGACGATGTCCTTGTCGGCCTTGAGTTCTCTGAGTGCATCGCGTTCCACCTTTGTGAGTGTTTCGCGCGGCTTGTGAGACATAAGGAGGGACGAAACGTGGTGTCGGATAAGGTTCTTCGTCTCCTTCGCCGGTTCCGTTTGATTAATTACCGATTCCACTGCTGCAATCATGTTGACAGGTTTGTGCGTCAGCTGTGTTGAATGAGGCTTCTTGCCGTAAAACCTGTACTTGCTCCTTCGTCAGTTCCTTTGATGACAGGTTGTGTACCAGTGTGCCGCTTCTGGGTGACGTTGGATCAGGCAGTTTGTGGAATTTGTTTCCCAGTGCTGCATCGCGTGTCGCTCTTTGCTCGCGGGCTCGTTCACTCACTTTCTGCTGAAGCAGATTTGTGCCGTTCTGACCAATGAACTCGCTGCATATGGCCTTCTCTTGGTTAATTCTCTTACGGTATTTGCGTAGTCTCACATGGCAATCTTGAAGGAGCACGCGGATCATACGTCTTGCGTGCTGAAATACTGCGCGTCTCGCTAGCTCCGTGTTTACCGGAGGTTTGTATGTAACACACTTCGGCAACAGGTTGTTATGGAGACCCCTGTGCAGAAACCGGATCTGCGCGTAAGTGGAGGCCTCTCGAAGGGCGAATGTTTCCCATCGTCGGGCCGATCGGAGCGCGTCGCGCCCAAACAAATTGCCGATACAAGCGAAGATACGAGTTCCAGGAACTAGTTGATCAGAAGAAGAAGAAGAGACGATCGCTGGAACAATGGCTTTATTCGCCTGTCGTTTTGGATTATCTCTTGAATCCATCATCAGTGACAGTTGCAGAAAGGGGTGGCTAGTGTACAGGAAGTCGCAGTATTTATAGGATGCCGTCGCCATGCTACCGCATACCCGCAGCAATTAACCGTGCTCACTTCATCAAAGATTGTTGCCCGCTAGTGCGCTTATTGCTTCTAATTGCTTCGCCAAAAGCTTCTCCTTCACCTTTAAATACTTCTTCTCATACCTGCAATACCTTGCGTATCCTTTGAACTAAAAATGGAAGTCGACAAAACACCTTCAGGACAGTGCAAACAACTCGCCACAAATGGGATTCGAAGTCAGTTGCCGTCGCGGGGTGGCCAACGAGATCACCACTAGACCACTGGCGCACGATGAGCAGACTGAAATAAATAAAGGAGCAGACATTATTCGTAATACAAACGACTGCAACTGTGTATATATCGCTGTCAAGTTACCTCCCGCTAAACGGGTAAGGAGTGTAGTAAGCTGTAAGGAAATTAAATACAAAGACGAAACACGTACGACATGTTTCGGACTCCTTCAAGAATTAGCGGATATGGAGAAGGAGATAATGGGCCTTAAAGTGGACGTGGAGAATATGAGGAATCTCCTCGCTATTCATAAAAAGAGAATGAAAATGAGCGAACATACGCAAACACGGCTTCCTCGGCTGCGTCGACAGAGGGAAAAAGAAAATAGTAGGTCGTTAGAGCTCGATTATAATGACAACCAGTGTCATTTGCAAGAAAAGCGTGGTCAGACGCGATACCAGCAAACAAAAATAAGCAGAATAGCATTACCGACAAAGACAAGTGAGACTGGAATAGCCATTTCTGGCTTATTAGACGTCGTCAGCCAGCCATACCCAAGCCCGAAGTGTGGAACACCCGAGCCTCGAAGTCGCGACCTGTTGGTTTAGAAGTCCACGCCTCTATCCACCGGGCCACGAGCCCGTTGCTCTGTCGGTTTTCGATCGGGAATATACAATGTTAGGGTGCGCTCGCCGATCGTTCATATGGAACTCACTCATTTCGTTATGCCTTAAGGGTTCTCTCTCGAGCCCAACCGGCAGCCGCACAGCGCGCATGAAACATAGGCAGAATAGCATTACCGTCAAAGACAAGGGAGACTTGCATGGTCATTTCTGGCTTATTAGCCATCGTCAGCCAGCCATACCCAAGCCCGAAGTCTGGAATACCCGAGCCTCGAAGTCGCGACCTGTTGGTTTAGAAGTCCACGCCTCTATCCTTCGGGCCACGAGCCCGTCGCCCTGTCGGTATCCGATCGGGAATATACAATGGTAGAGGCGCTCACCGATCTTTCATACGGAACTCACTCGTTCCGTTGTGCCTTATGGACTCTATCTCGAGCCCCAGCAGCAGCCGCACAGCGGGTGTTCCACACTTCGGCCTTGGGTATGGCTGGCTGACGACGGCTAATAAGCCAGAAATGGCCATTCCAGTCTCCCTTGTCGTTGTCGGTAATGCCATTCTGCCTATGTATCATGCGCCGCTGTGCGGCTGCTGGTTGGGCTCGAGAGAGAGCCCTTAAGGCACAACGGAACGAGTGAGTTCCGTATGAACGATCGGTGAGCGCCTCTTCCAAACAAAATAAGTCTGAGGTTACCACGAAAAGGCATAGAGTGTCAGACAAGGGAACAAGAGTTTGCTACACAGCAGACGAAAATCGTGCCTCTGAAAACGACAAATGCTCAAAAGATCTCAGTGAACGGGCAGTCATGCGTTAGACCTACCGAAACAAACCTTCCTAAATCGGTGAAAGGCGGTAGTCCAGATATCCATGATGAAGACTCTAGTTGGTAACAGTAAATCTATTGTCATAAAGGGCATGCCTGTGTCTGTTTCCGATATTCCAGGAATATCTGAAATCGATCTTAAGAGGTGACGAGAAAGTCACCGTATAAAAGGCCTTTAGAATGGGCCAAATAAAAGACTCAAAACATGAACCAGACCGACCGAGACCGTTAAAAATTGTCTTTGTTAATGACGGACAAGCGCAACTACCGTTGAGCAGGAAATCTGTGCTTCCGAATGCCCATCCATCAGTTTTTTTTCAGCGGGAATTTTCATCCACGGAGCGAGAAAAATAGAGGGTGCTGAAATTGCAAGCCCTCAGGTGGTCGAGTCTGGGTGAGACAAATCTCAGAATAGTGGACGAGAAAAATTATACGCGTCCAGTGGCCATTTTTCTGGAGAGGGCCCATAACTCTAACAGCTTAGGTGTGATGGAAAGCAGTTCATCCCGACCAGCTCTGACCGGATTTTGCATTTAATACTACGAAATGGATAAATGCCTGTATGCCGGAGTTGCTCGTGCCAAATTGAAATTTTTGTATACTAATGCTCAAAGTCTCGTTTCGAAGATCGACGAACTCAAAGCGATAATATCAGCACGAATATCCTACGTCATCGCATAACGGAAACTTGGCCTAATGTCGAAATCGTGGATGCTGAGATTTTGATACTGGGTTGCCAGCCCTTTTGTAGAGACGTCAAAATAGACATGGCGGAGGGGTAGTCGTAAATGTAAGGGCAGTAATTTCGGCAGTTGGACGATCCCACATTCTCTCCCTTGGACATGAATCCGTTTGAATAAAGATAAAGAAGAGAAATGCACAAAATCTACAATTCCCAACGATTTACAGACCACAAAACCTTCTGATAGCAGCTGATGAGTCGATCCTTGGTTTAGTCAAAGACGTATCTAGCCACCAAGAGGTACATGTTGGGGATTTCAACGCATCTGCAATAAAGTGTGGAAACTATGGCTGTTAACAGTGGGCCAGCTTCTTTCAGCAATAAGCTACTGGACCTCACACTCGATCTCCCTCTGGCGCAACATGTGAAGGTATCAACAAGATTTCGAGAAAACCAGAGAGCGAATTGTCTTGACCTAGTTTTCACAAAATACTTCTCGAATATCCACGAATTGTATTCTAATGCACCCTTCGGGAAAAGCTATCATAATGCGCCACTATGATGTAACTCGCTCTTCTCTCAACGGCAGAAGAGAACAAAGGGCTAACCTTATATATGAAAGGCAGATTTTAACACGATGAAGAACGAATTGATGTCCGTGAATTGGGACCAATTACTCAGTGGAGATCCGGATGACGACTGAGGTCTTTTAAAATGTTTGCACCCGATCTGATTCGGCGCTGTTGTCCACCTAAAGTACAAAAACAACTGGTCGACCTGCTTGGTTAAATAGGGACCTAAATAGGCAGCTACGGAATAAAATCAAAATATGCAAAATATTCAGAAAACTGCGTCACCAGCACATTTCGAAGAATTCCGTCGTCAACGAAATGCAGTCAAAAAATCTTTCCGTCAGACACGGAAGGAGTATGAATCCAAAATTATCCGACAGGCTGAACAGAGGCCCAAGATTTTATTTTACCATCTGAACTGTAGACTGAAAACAAGGACCCAGTCGCAGTGCTGAAGGGTTATAATGGTGTAGAAATCGTTGGTAACAGCGGAAAAACCGAACGCTCTAGACGGCATTTTGCCTCGGTTTTTACTAGAGAAACAGAGTTTCGTAGTCACAGCGCCAGTAAAGCTGTTGAAACCGCTGGTTCCGTGCATCTGGACAGCTGTAGTGGAAAGGGAGCTGAAAAATCTCAAAAAATCAAAGTCCTCGTGTCCGGACAAAAACTAGCCAGAGTTTTGAAAACATTGGCGAATGAGTTCTTCGAACCACTGGCACACATTTTCCACTCGTCATTCCAATTAGGGAGACTGCTATCAGGATGGAAGACAGGAAATATTTTTCCGATATAAAAGGGTAAGGCTCGCACTAATGCTTACAATCGGCGGCCTGTTAGTATAACCTGAATCAGCTGTTAAATAATGGAGGCCTTATTTAGGAAGCAACAAAGAAGTTCCTGGAGCAGGGCCATTTACTTTCAGACCTGCAGTACGGCTTTAGACAGAAGCGCCCTTGCCTTTCCAGGTTATTGCCCTCTACGGAGCAGTTTGCTCACACACTAGACGAGGATTGTAGGGTCGATGTCATCTACACCGACTTCAAAAAGGCGTTCAACAGAGTCCCACACAAGCACCTAATATACAAACT